GTCGGCCCTGAGCAGAGCTGGGCGGCTCCCAGGACGCTCCCTCTAGGCGGCTTGGGCCCCTGCACCCCTGGGGGGTGAATCCAGAGGCCTCCCAGTGGCTAGCCTTCTACTCATCTTGTTTCCTCTTGGAAGCCTTCCAGACACATATTCATGCAGAACCAGTGGTCAGCTGTCGCTTTGGGGCACGTTGCCCGAGTCACCGACCTGTGGACGTGGAGGTAGAGGTCTTGAGGTGGGCCGGGAGTGACAGCAGTCACAGCCCTGCGCCTCAGCATCAGTGCTGGTGGTCTCCTGAGCACAGCAGACGTGTGGGGGCTCAGGCTCTGGTCCAGCGGCCGTGCCAACCAGCGTTTCTCTTCCGTTTCACAGAAGGCCCCGGGTGGTGTGCCTCGATTGCCCAGGCGTAGCCACAGGTCTTTCTGGAGGGGGCTGAGCCTCCCCTGATGCTCGGTGGGGCTGCTAGGCCGAGGGGGCCAGAGTTTTCTAGGCTCTGGAAGTGATGTGACCTCTGACCTTTGGATTATGGAAGCCTCTGTGCGTAGTGGTGTTTGTGTGGGCTCTGCCTGACCCTCCCCGCTTGCTCGGGTGTGGGCAGGAAGAATGCAGAAGGCCGAGTGGGAGGAGTACTGCAGAGCTTCATTATCTCCACAAATCATAATGCGAAACATGATTCTTCGGTCTTTTTGAAATTCATCACGTTTAGTTAAATTTACTCTTTAAGACCTATTTTCATACCACTGAGTTCAGAGTCAGCCTCCTGTTAACCCTAGGCTCTGCCGATGCCACATCAGTATTTCTTGGGAGTCTGCCTCCCTGGGCGCGTCTTCAAGCACCCCGGCGTGCCGGCAGCCGCGCCTCCCCATCCTGTGGCCCTGTGGCTTTCCGTGTGGGGCGCAGCACCCCGCGCCTCGTGGCCTCGTGCGAAGTCGGCGAGGCCAGCCTCCTTCAGCAGACGCCCGCTCTCAGGCTAGTGGGGTTAAAGGGCGCATCCGCGGCCTCTGATCCGCCCAGGCTTTTGCCCCGAGGGAGGGCTCGTTTGGCCTTCGTGTCCAGTAGCCTGTGTCTGGCTCCTGGTAGGATGTCCACTGGAAGGACAGACAGGCCCTCGCCCATCCTGGATGACAGGTCCGCATCTGGCAGGCTTGGCTGTGGCTGGGCTGCGTCACCGGGGACGCGGGCCTGTTGCAGCCTTTGATACCGGCGACGGGAGGGAGTCCTGCTTGCTTAGGCTGTGCCCCACGCGTGGAAACCACCTCTCCACAGTGCTCTGAGCGCTCCCCGAACCCCGCCAGCCCCTCTGCCCCTCGCCTGCGGGGGTCGCCTTCCCACTCCTGCCTCCCAGCACGTCGCATCCCCGTCTGCCCTCTGCCTGTGTCTCTGGGCTCCTCTCCAGCGGTACTGCGTTCGGTCGCTCGCTCTCAGTCCATTTCTTCGTTATCTACCTCCTCTTCGCGTATTTCAGAACCTTTAGGTTAAAATAAAATTACCCACTTTCCTCTAAGTATCGTCCGTGCCCATCGCCGCTTTCCCTCACCTTCTCGTTCTTCATTTCCCAGTTTGCAAACTTGGCCTCCACCCCTTGCGTGGAGATGGTCTAGGAGCCGTCGACACCAGCTCAGCGCCCCCACCCAAGGGCCGTGGCGTCCCACACCGCTGGCCTCCTTGTCCGTCTGGTCCGAGACTCCGCTCGCGCCTCAGTGGCCTTCGTTCCTTTCTCTTCTGCCATGACACCTCCCTCCATCTCGCGCTACGGGGACTCAGGGTGGGCAGGGGAAGGCGGAGCCTGGAAGTCGCAGCTTCAGGAAGCTCCCCGGTGGGCGTCAGGCAGGTGGTCGCTGGACCGCATAGGAGAAGCGTAAGAAGCGCCTCTGCCCCAGCCCTGCCCCTCAGCGCGCACGTCTGGCTCTACCCACAAGCCCCGGGACGTGCTCGGGCTCGCCCCAGACCCGCAGCCTGCATCCGTCCCTCGCTCGCTCCCCAGCCGCCCGCCACAAGGCCCCCTCATGCACCCGCGCCCC